CCTTTGATAGTCACCTGTCGGTCTCCTGTCCTCTCTGAAAGTCATAAAGATGACATTACTCATGTAGATTACTTATGTCCTCAATTACCAGGGGATTACTGAAACCACCATGAATTAAAGAAATGGTAGAAATGAATCTAATCTGAATTTTGAAGCCTTCCTTCCCTCCCTCTAAATATATCAAACATTAGGAAGTGATGCTCCTGACTACCATTCAAGTTTAAGAAGATAATATTTGTTTTAAATAATTCAAGCAATAAACAACAGCAACAGGCTCTTTAACCAAGGCAACGTTAGCCTAAAGGCCCAGATACACCGGCCAGTCACCTGAGAAGTCGCCGACTGTTGCGTCGCCGGACTCTCCTGCGTATTTGCCGACTTCAAGCACTGGAACACACCGCAAATCCGAGCCGAGCACGTATGAACTGCGTATGCGTGAGTGGCAATAACTCTCTTTACCAGCAGGCGGCGGCAGTGTGTATTCATCATTCAAAAGAGGCAACAACCGGAACAACCGGAAGACAGAGAAGAAGAACAGACTCCGTGACATAAACAAACAACAAATAGCGTTTTTCTTTCCATTTTTACTCTCGTCCATTGAAAACATGAGCGAACAGGAGCAGGACGAACGGGAGGTACTGGAGCTAGCAGCCCTTAGACTCACGCTTGTGTTAAATCATTTGTTTACCTCCCTCACNAGTGAGAGAGAGTGAGAGAGAGGAAGAGAGAGAGGAAGAGAGAGAGAGAGAGAGACAGACAGAGACTCCCTCTCTCTCTCTCACTCTCTCTCACTCTGTCTCTCTGTCTGTCTCTCTCTCTCTCTCTCTTCCTCTCTCTCTTCCTCTCTCTCACTCTCTCTCACTCTGTCTCTCTCTCTCTGTCTGTCTGTCTGTCTCTCTCTCTCTCTCTGACTCTCTCTCTCTTCCCCTCTCTCTCTCTCTCACTCTGTCTCTCTCTCTCTTCCTCTCTCTCTCTCTCTCTCTCTCTCTCTCTCTCTCTCTCTCTCTCTCTCTCTGTGGGTGGCTGTAACTCAATCATAGAACTCAATGCGCAGCTCCGGGGCTAGATCCTGTCAAAGCACATTCTCCTCCCCCCCCTCCCCCCTGAGGTGACCTGCGGGCTGCACAACATCAACATCAGCAGCAACCCCAAGTATAGACATAAAACAGCAAAAACTCCATAGAACATAAAGAAATCCCATATGCAGACTTGGGAAGTACATTTGCTCAAGTACTGTACAATGTTGATGTATTGTACTTAATTAAATCAGAACTGTGTTTGTCTACAACAGTCAAATGCGACAATATTATCTAGAAATGTCACATATATAATTATATACACACATAAAGGCAACTTTTCTGCACAATGATTACTTTCACTCAAGCATCTGAATTCTTTATCCACAACGGCCGAAATGCAGCTTCATATAAAATAAATGTAAGAATGTAAGAATTGAGGATTATTCTTCCTCTCGTCATTATTTCCTGCTATTGTATAGGTAAACACAAACTGGTATCTGAAAACTAAATATACAAGAATTGCCCAAAAATGTCATGACAAAATGACAATTTACACTACTCTCTGCAAAACTGATGCAGTGTAATGTCGGCACATGAGATGACAGGAATCTCCCAAGGTCACCCTGACATGGTCGTTGTAATTAATAAAGTCAAGTTTTTTAAAGTACATTGGAAAACATCACAGTTACATATAAGAGACACAGTAGCCAATGTGATTTTGAAGACTCACTTATTTCTGTGGTATCACTGTACACAACTCTCTTTTTCTCTCTCTCTCAGCGGAAATTCAGAGTTGTCTGGTGAGTTCAGGGGATGTCGGCTGTGGGAATTTTCAGTGTTTCAACAACAACTCCTGTGAAATCCAAGGTCTGCACCAAATCTGTCTCACTCTGCTGCACAACGCCGGGCGCTACGACTCACAGGTGGGAGGAGGACACACAGACACCTCAACACACACTTATTAGGAGTAATTGTGTACCGTTTGACCCCATCTGAACTAGATGACATAGTCTGAAACTGGGTCCAACAGCATCTTAAGGCGATATTAGATGAGACATATTGGCATACATGTTTTTATTTCATTTAATCCCATCAGTCACTACAGTAATTTGTGAAGAATGTTTGCTATATAAGGTGTATGTATAGTTATGCATGGTGGCACTGGATACAGAACAAACTGAGAGGGGAAGTGAAATGAGAGAGGGAACAGTGTGTCTACTTTACTAGAATAGAAGTACATGAGGGAATGATTTAAGTCTTCATGTGTCTCCAGCATGATCGCAGAGTGGATGATGTTCACCAAGGATCTGTCAGCATCGAGTTAACTGGATGTTAAATACAGTAACAAACAATGACAGAATATATGTGGACATAGCTATAATCAGTATCTTTCCAATAAAACAAAACAAATGACATTACAAAAGAAGTCCCTCGTAGGAATACATCTAAAGAGAATCTGCCTCACCCCTCACTTTGACGTATATTCATGGTACATTTCAGCTCATTGTTGAGCTGTTCGACCCGCAGCTTAGGGTTTACTCACACCACTATTAGTATATTTTTAAGCTGCAGAAGACATCTATTCTAACTCAAAGGCTGTACAAACATTCCAATAAACACTACTTGCTCAACAGTAAACTTGAGACAGACAAAGCAAATATCTAGCTGTTGACTATAGTGGAGCAGTCAGCAGCTAAAGAGACATATATTGTCCTCAGGAGCTGGTAAAGGCCATTCACAAAGCAAAGCTCAATAGGAGAGAATATTATAGGCTCAGTAGGTGGCCAGAAACTTGACTTCAAAACAATGATAAGTTTCCTGTGGGACTGTTAGATGTGTTAATAAGCGAGAACACTAGCAGGAAAGCTAATGTTGGTTGTTGTTCAATCTCTGCTTTTTGCCAAATTTGATTAGCTGCATTGAAATAAGGTCTTCCATTAAATTAATGCAAATGTAGTGGGAGCCACCATGAAACCAAAAATACAAAGAACCATTCTTGCCAACCTTGAGACCTCAGAAATAGGGAGCATTTCAATTGACCAATCCCAGGGGGGCGGGGGCGGGTTGAGACATTTTCCTGCATCCTACTGACTTTTAAAGATGAAAAGAATAAAAAGCACACTGCAACAGGATTTATATGTTAAATCGTGTTATTGAATGGGCCATCTATACATGCTTATTGCACTTACAAGTACAATAAGCATCTACACATGCTTATTGTAAGTGCAATGCCTTGCTGCATTGAAACTGATTCTTCCTCTTCCTCCTCCTCCTCCTCCTCCTCCCAGGGTAAGTCCTTTGTGAAGGATGCGTTGCGCTGCATGGCTCTGGGCCTGCGGCAGCGCTTCAGCTGTGTGAGCCGCCGGTGCTCCGCGGTGAGGGAGATGGTGTTCTCGCTGCAGAGGGAATGCTACTCCAAACACCAGCTCTGCCTGGCGCTGAGAGACCACATGGACACCATGGGCAGCCTGGTGCAGTTCCACCTCATGTTCCCCCCGGGGTGAGACACACACACACAAACTGAAAATAATCTCTTGACTTGTATCATCATCCAAAGGAAAAAAGTCTTAAGAGTAACTGTTACACTACATTTTAGGGTACATTTCAGTCATTTTATCACACAAGCAAAACACTTATTTTACAAACTGAAATAGTTTTGAAATGTATACTGTCTTTTGGATTGGTCTTTCTTACGATTTACTTAATATACTATGACTTTTGAATGATATTTTTAACACATACTATAATTTAACATCAGACATTTTGTAAGACCTTCTATACATAGCAAACTGTATTTTTTTGTACTTCTTTATATCATACTTGTTATGCTATGATTGCTTAATGCAGTTTTAATGACATCATCTGCTACAATACTCATTGACATACTATATGATGTTTTTAAAACATACTATACTATATCTTTCATACTTACATACTCTTTCATACTTTTTATATACTACGACTTTAAAATATTTTTTTATCGCATACTATACTTTGATCTAAAATGAATAAATTAGGAAATACTTTTTATATATCATGATTCTTTCTTTTTGAAACTATACTTTCCATATACATTTCGAGGAATTATTTTTAAATATATATTTTTGACATGCTATACTAGGACTTTTGTTAGTTGTTTCTCGCTTGTTGGCCACGACTTTTTTCCCCTCTCACAGTATGAAAAGCACGGTGGTAAATATTTAAAAAAGGTCATGACTGAATTCGATTTAGCTGCTTCAGTTTCAGAGTCCGGTATTGTACATGCCGCCTCACTGCCATAACCTGTGTTTTCCCTTTCATGATAAGTCATAGCTACTGTGAACGAGTCTAGCTTTAGGTAGTGTTCTTCTGAGAGTCTGAGTTGAAAAGTTGGATAAACCCAAACATTTGTCTCTCGTGTCTCATCAGACCGTATGTGGAGCTAATGAACTTCCTGTTGAAGTGTGGGGAAGACGTCAGGCTGTGGGTCGGCCAGCGGCTGCGCGGACAGTGTGAGCAGCACTGGGGGGGGCTGTGCAGCAGCTTTGAAAGTACATGCTCTCTCAGCCAATCGGACGACCTGGAGGTTACCAACATCACACCACCATGGCCTACCACAGCTGAAGGACACCTGCTGCAGCCCTCCAGACCCACCGAGGACAGAAACACACTCAGTCAGGTCAACAACGCGACCCAATCTGGTTCACCTGTGCCTGGGAAATCCAATGTGACCTCTTCATAAACAGACCGGTGGTGCAGAAAGGGTTCACAAAGATGATGCACTTATTACTATTATATTAGCAGAATGAGTGTCAGTAGTGGTAGTAGTTGTGTGTTGTATTGCTGGTAAAAGCAATGCAACATATCTTATTTAATCTGTTGGGTATTTGTGCTATATATATATATATTACTATTTTCCTTGACATTTGACTTTGTACAAGAATGAAAACCAGTTATCTACCTCACCTCGACAGTTAACCAGTGGCTGTATCCTTCAGCAAGACACACACACACACACACACACACACACACACACACACACACACACACACACACACACACACACACACACACACCCACACACACACACACA